AAAGGTACTAAAGGAGGTGAACCAATTCTCCTGGACTAAAGAATGCCAACAAATTTTTGACCAAATGAAAGAATACTTACATCATTTTCCTACCATCACTTCACCACGAGCTGGAGAAAAGTTGTATTTTTACCTGTCTGCAGCAGATGAAGCAGTAAGCGCCGTATTAATCCGAGATGAAGGTACTCAGATTCCTGTCTACTATATCAACAGGGTTCTACATAAATCGAAAATTCGGTACACTCAAGTGGAGAAGTTTGTATTGGGCATAATACATGCAGCCCGGCAACTAGAACCCTACTTTTTGGCTCATGCCATATTTATAAGGATGGATCAACCAATTCAACAGATCTTATTACGTCTCGAGATTTCAGAGCATCTTACCACATGGGCTGTCGAGTTGGGAGAGTACGATCTCTCATATGAGTCTCGGACAGCTATCAAAACCCAAGTTTTGACAGATTTCTTGATCGAGCTCACATTCTCGGTGAGCCAAGACGTCACATCTGATTCTTCCGAACCATTTCGATGGACATTATATGTAAACGGGTCTTCTAACAGCGATGGCAGCGGAGCAGGTTTGCTCCTTGAAGATCCTCATAGAGAGATTTGCTCGTATGCCCTCCGCTTCAACTTTTCTGTATCTAATAATGAAGCCGATTAAGAAACTTTGATCGCGAGCTTACAATTATCCATTAGACTCGGTGCTCGGTGCATTCAGGTTAACAGTGATTCCCAATTCGTGGTACACTAAGTTCTTAGTGAATATGATGCCAGAGAGGAGACCATGCAACGGTACCTCTCTAAATCTCACCAATTCACTGCTTACTTTGACTTATTCAAAATTCAAAGAATATTTCGGTCACAGAACATGCGAGCTGATTCTTGGTCCGGGTTGGCCTCCACTTCATTTTTAACACTTAATAAAACGGTTCTTATGGATGTCCTTACCGAGTCGGGGTATTTGGAAGAAGAGGTCTATCATGTGCACTCAAGAGATACATGGATGAATCCCCTCATTAAGTTCCTAGACCAGGGAATCCTTCCCAAGGATCGAGTTGAAGCGAGGAAGATTCAACGCAAGGCTGCTCGGTATGCATTTCGGGAAAGCAAATTGTATAAACGGTCTTATCTCTAACCATGGCTACAGTGCGTCACAACTAAGAAATGAGAACGCCTCCTCCGTGAAATATATGAGAGATTATGCGGGGCCCACGTCGGCCATTGGATGTTGACTAAAAAACATCTGCTCCTCGGATATTTTTAGCCTACAATTCAGCAAGATACCCAGATCCTAGTTCTTAGCTGCTCCTCATGTCAGCACCATGCCCCTGAACATCATCAGCCTACCAATTTCATTGTCCCCATCACCTCGCCTTGGTCTTTCGAGCAATAAAGGACAGATATTATCGGTCATTTCCCTAAGATCGTGAGAAATTATGTTAGTAGCAGCTGTTGATTACTTCACAAAGTAGGTCGAAACCGAGCCACTAAAAAGTATAACTGACCTTGCTATTCAAAAATTCTTTTGAAAATATATAATTTTCCTTTTCGAAATATCACAGGTAATCATCTCGGATAACGGAAAATAGTTCGTTGAAAATCCATTCAAAGGGTGGTGTGAAAACCTTGGAATCAATCAGCGCTTCACTTCGGTAGGTCATCCCCAAGCCAATAGACAAGTTGAGAACTTCAACCGAACACTCTTACATGGCCTCAAGACCCGGTTACACCAAATTGGATCATCCTGGGTAGACGAGCTCCCTAGTGTGCTTTGGTCTTATCGAACTACGCCGAGATCGGTAATGCAAGAAACCCCGTTCTCCTTTACTTATGGGTCTGAGACGATAATTCCTGTCGAGATCCTTATTCCAAACCCTCGGATGACAGCATATGCTGCCGACGCAAATGAAGAAGAAAGGAGGATGGACATCGACTTGATTGAAAAAAAAAAAGACGTTGCAGCAGCTCAGATAGTTTTGTACCCGAATATCTTAGCCAGCTATTACAATGCCGGTGTTAAACATCTTCCATTCAACCCATGAGATTTAGTTCTAAGAAAAAACTGGGTTAGTCGAGCTGAACCTCAAGGTAAGCTACCTCCGAAGTAGGAGAGGCCTTACCGAATTATTGAATCTAGCCGAAGCGGCTATTGCAAATTGGCATTACCGAAATGGCACTCTTGTGCTCAGAACTTGGCATGCCAAGAATCTTAAATTGTATTATTCATGAAAATGCCAATGACTCTAAAATGTTTCAGTACCTTTTAGTCTCGACAACAAGACTGGAGCAGTCTTTGGCGAGAGGAGATTGGGTATTGATTATGGGCACGGGTCTCGCTTATTTTTTTGATAAAAAAAAGCAGGTATGGATTTTAATGAATATGAAAACAGACTCTTGGAGAGGGAATCTGAGGACAGAACAGATCTCAATGCTCGCATAAATTTGTTGTTCGAGAAGAGATCTGAACCTCATACCCATCCCACGAAAGAGGTGGCTAAAACAAAAGGTTTAAGAGATCTTTTTGAAGATCTTGTGACAAATGCGAAAATATGTGAGGATGGACTTTATAAGCCGTACTGTGATCAACTTCTAAATCTCAGTACTCATATGCTAAATAAATCTGCAAAAGGTATAGAAACCTACGTGACTGTAGAAACTTATACTAATCTCAGCTACAACCCGTGGCTGTCTTAAAGGTCTCAGGAGACATGCAAGAATCCTTGTCTGGGTAATGGTTAGGCATATCTGTAAGATTACCAGAAAAAGTGTATAATCAAGGGGATTATCCCTTGGAAGGCTCCATTTGAGGTAGCCGTTATTGGCGTTGGGCATTTTACTGTTAGGGTTTAAGTCGCAGGCTTACAAGATTGACAAGGTGCTTGAGGACGGTTACCTCGGCTCGGTAATTCTGAACTAAAACCCCAAGCCTTCGGTGGTTTCCATCACCTCGGCCCGAGGTGATGTCGACTCAGGTCCCTAACGCAATACCGAACTCCCGTACATTATTAATCATCCCACCTCACCCGTTGCGCAGATGTTATCAAAGCCAGTTCATCCCTCAATATTGCGAGTGACGAGTTATCAATAACTATCAGTTAATGGGAAGCCACATGGTTACTTTTTATTGAAAAACCACGTGCCTACATGACAGAGAAAGTAGACCACTGCTACCTGTTAGTACAAAATAGTATGTGCAGATTGTGGGGCCCTGGGAACTTGAATCCACTGTCCTTCCCTCCATCCGGTATCTTATAAATACCGTATTCCTCCTCAAAGACAAATAAGAACTCAGTTACATTCAGATTCATTATTATTACTATTTCCTACCAAACTGACTTGATCGTCGAAGATATCATAGGGAAAAACTCCCTTCTCTCATTTCGGCCAGGTGAGATATTACCTAAGATCACCTCGCTAAAGAAGAGATTTCATTAGGTCAGCTTGACCACCTATCCAGAAACAACCTCTTTAATGTTCAAAGCTGAAAATCTTTTATTATATATACTAGAATTCTACACCTTCTTTTGACTGCATCAATGAAAATTAAGCAGTGGAAAAATGACAAATACTCTATGTGTGTGTGTGTGTGTGTATTTTTGTGCCATCAGAATTCGGGTCTAGGCCATATTTATTGTGATAAGTGTAGCTAACTGAAATCAGGAGTGACTGAAGATTATCCACTGATAATCCTCAACAGTCACCCGTACCACTAAAATGTTAAAATCAATCAAAATGCAATAGTTCCAAATTTCACTACAGTTCTATCATGACCGTATGAGGCTGGATAGCCTAGTCTAAATGACGAGAAACCTTTCGAAAGGGATGATAATATCCCATAGTAGCATAACTACAACGGAACAACTGCAAGATTAGCGTTGCATGGTTCTTGATATCCTACAAAAGCTGATGATGAATCCATTAAATTCTTGAAGAGTGAAATAGCATCTTTGGAGCTTTGTTCAATACTAGCATGGTTTCTTCTATGTTGTGCCTTACAAGAGGTGGGTCAAGTTTTTAGTTGTCGCGAAAAGTTAAATTTTAAAAGCAAAAATTTTCTCAATTCATGGATGAATGATAATATTTGAACATTATTGATAACCATTTGCCTAGCTATTGAAAATCAAGGAAAAAAAGGACAGATGGGAATAGGCATTGTTGCAATGAAGGAAAATGATCAACTGCTAGCTAAGTGGGCAGTAAAGGTATACAGCACAGGGAACAATCTAATGGATAATGCAGCTGCCATCAAATTAGCAATGATAAAGGCAAGGGAGCAACAATAGAGGAGAATTCAAGTAGCAATCACACAACGACAGCTTTTGAAGTTGATAGAAGCCAAAAAGGCTACTGATATTCGACTTTATCCTCATCTAGAGGACATTCATGATCTAAGTTCAATGTTTGTGGAATGCTCATTTGTATTAGTTAGGGAGGAAGTTAGGAATAGCATAGGTAATCTCAGTCTTTATGCGCTAAGTATATCTTTTGATGAGGAATGGTTAAATCCTCAGTGTCGCAAACACTTGTATAGTTCAACTTGACCCTTTACTCATTAAGTGTATATTTCTTACACAAGCTAATATAATCAATTATCGTTTCTGGACAAAAAAAAAAAAAAAGATAGGTCCACCCCTCTATTTTATGTGTTCATCACGCGTCTTTAGGGTACCAAATAGAAAATTTTTTTTAAAAAAACCCTCCTTATGTAAGCATCCAAGTATCCTTAAGGTACAGAATAGACTCCCTCAGGCCTCAATCAGAAAGAAAACAATCAACCATAGTGCTGAATTGTATAGGCTTTTGTATAGTTCAAGTCGACTGCAAGCGGTTCCTGATTGTGCTTTCTTTTAAACACTTAATTTCTGTAATGAAACAAAATATCTCTCATTTTCTCCTCGAATAGATTCTTTTTTCTTTTTTTTGGGTTTTCAAGAGAGCCTTGTTATGTTGTTTTGAAGGCTTCACTAATCCTTTGAATCCGATCCCAACGGGTATCATTCCCTCCAAAACTACATTCTCTTTCATATCCTTCAACCAATCGATAGAAATTTCCAATAAGACTCGACGTTAGCAACCTCGATTAGCAGTTCATGTTTATTAAAGCTTTAGTCAAAGCACAAACTGAATCGAAATTCTTCTATTCTGAAACGTGTGTTAACACGTATGACATAGCCGCTGAATGTTTCACCAGTGGATTGAGCATGATAGGCTTGATCTTACACTATCAACCAACTATACAAGGTGTAACATCTGGACTGATGAAGCCAGATCCAAAGCCGTCCTTGGAGATGGTATTAAAACTTAGCACCTTCAGCACTTGTTCAACACCAGGTTCTTCATAAATGAAATAACATTCCGAGCAAGCTTCTCATCTGCTCCTGACCACGTGCAACAAAAATGAACTGCTTCATATGTAGAATCAGGACCATCATTCATCCTGTGAGGGCATTTTTCCTTGGAACACACGGAGACAATAAATGATTCAATTTGAAGATTCTGGTCCGATTCCTGGATGGTTGCTTCAGAAAAATTGTTACTAAGCTTCAGAAATAGTTGGTGCAGAAAAGGCAGAGATTCTTGTGACACAGGATTCAGTTGTTGTTGCTCATCCATTTTGGTGATTCGCACTGGAAAACAAAGGGCAAACTGGACATCATGAGTTTCCAGTCCTGATGTATGTACAAGCTCTTTCAGGTGTACAATCTTTGGGTTCTGGTGTTTCCCCGTGGTTAGTATGCCTTCAGCTACTCTGTCATCACGTACCCGTAGCACAGGCTTAGAAATCATGTCCATATCATCTGTAATAAGATTCCCTCTTGATCTTTCTGTGACAAACTTGAAGTTTGGACTCCATGTGCTTTTAAGGAAAGCGCTTGATGCATCAGCTTTCACATAGTGAGTAGAAGGGATGCTCACAGTCTCGTTATTTGCAGGAACATGGCATTGCATATCAAAGTCAGACTCAATTTTACCTTTGAGGGATTCCATCTTTGGCTTTTCACCATGTACAAGAATCACATGCTTTGGTGACAGAAATTTGATGAGATCCATAATTCCCTTGGCATCAGTATGAGGACTGAAAGACAACTGATGAATCTGGAAATTGCAGCAAAGACGTTGGTTATCTTGTATACAGAAATTGCTTTATCTATACAATATTAACAAAGAAACATCTTGTGCTAAAACATTCATGCTTCTTTGAAAACTTGAGCACTGGTCTCTATCATTTGATTCATTAACTTTCTGATGCACGTAAGATGTGATTGATACATTGTGCTGTTCATGGTTTCTGAACAACAACCAAAATGCTTTCAACAGAGCTCAATGCAACTATTGGACAAAGAAGCTCATTTCCTTGGCTGGCTGTCCCTAGAATAATGGATGAAGTTCGGTGAAGAAAATTACGGTTAATATTTTCTAAAGTATCTTCAGACAGAAGATAATCAGGAGTCAAACTTTGGGATGACTGGTATACTAGGTGGCGAAGACACAGGGACCAACATAAAGCAACAAGGTTACAAACATTTTCATATTTAGATGTTTGAAAAGCACCAAGTTTAATTGGCAAAGAAAATAAATTGCTAAATCAATGACCAGTTATGTCTGATTCTTCTAAGTTTGTGGGTCTTTCGTTGGTTGGAACATAGATAATTAAGAAACATAAACTTCACCCTTAAATTTCACATACACAATGGAGCACGAAATCCCACAAGTGCATTCAGATTTAATAAACTTCTACGGAAACTCACAATGGAATGTAGCAGATTGAGCTTAATTGACATCAAAATCAAAATGATTTATCTATTCAAAACCAGTAATCAATCTCAGCAGAAAAGGATCCACTCATTAAAGTATTGAAAGAGAACCTTGTCATATATATGTTATCAAAAGAAGAGCAAGCATCAAAAAGGGGATAATAACCTGGCATCGCACATCAATTTGGGTGTTTTGATCTATATTAACTTGGGTTGGTGTTTTAGCTGACATCAACCGGTGTCCAACTGTCCCAGCCACACAATACCTGGCAACAATCCAACAAAAGAAAATGCATCACAATGGTTCTTATAAAATAAAAGCACCACATATACTGGGTATGATTAAGTTGAGACATTGTATCACTCTAAGCATCGCTTTTTGTCGGTCAAAGTTAATATTTTGTTCAACATGCATCCAGGCCACTCTCTCTCCTCTCTGTCCATCCTTGTACTTGCCTGTGTTTATAATCTCAAAAATACGGTGGCATTATTAAGAAAGTAATGCTACAACACCTAAAATAAATAAAGAAAGGGAAAGGGGCACTTGGTTGTTCGAAATTGACTTACAAGTAACTAAGTCTATTCTTCAAAAATATGAAGCATCTTAAATATTTATACTACATAAATATTTCTTTGCACTTTGCCCTCCACTTTGCTAAACTGAAAAGATCTTAACTTCTCAAATTATGCCAGAGTTCAAGTCAAAGTGCAAATGTTACTGTTTAAAATTTGTCTTTGTAAAATGCAACATCTAATGCAAGCAAGAAAAAGCCAAGGATACTTTAAAATGCCTTGAGAATAATACAGGACAGAATTCAAAGTCAATCCATTGCATTTTGATGAAAACAATGAAACAACACAGAACTCGATAGAAGTGATTTAAAAGGTTAAATGGATAGTGATTAGAAACAATACTGCTCTTAATCTAGGATTTTAAAAAAGGAACATTTGCTCACTCTACAGGAGCTTTCTAAAGTTGTGAACATTATTCTTATAATCATTTATGCCAGCCTTCCCAATCATTTAAAATAGCAACAAGCAGCTGTGTATTAGTTTTGATATGGGGGGAACAGAGCATACCCTGGCAGTGTGACGAGATTCACTTCATCTGGAGCCCATTGCTTGAAAACTTCAAGTGAAAATCCACCACTTATCATTCCTGGAGTAGCAAAGAGGACACAAGGCCCGGGAGCATTTATCAAGGAGCGCTCAAACTTGCAGACTGTAAAATCCAAATTCAAGAAAATAATCAACACCTTCAGTAGGATCAATGCATATATGAGATGCTAGTGCAGTGCAATTAATATGGGCAAAATTTGGAGAGCTAAAAATAATTACAAAAATCGAATTGATTGAGCAGCTATTTTTAGAGACTACGCCACCAGAAGTCCTCCTTTACTGGACAAATACACCTCAGAAGCATGAAGTAGGAGCAATCAGAATGGCTCAGCAAGCCAAATATCTTCTAAGATAATAAAATTGCAGAACAATTGAGAATTATGTTGACCATATTTCTTTGAGATAAAATAAAAGCTTAGCTATTCAATTAACCTAAATTATTCCCTGAGGGTAATTAGTAATCCAAATGAAACCCTACACCTTTTAAATATCAAACTGCAACAAAACCCTTTATTACTAAATTTGACATCACAAACACTACTAAATTTATAGATATGAGCATTAAATCATATTCAGCAAAGCATTATAATTTATGGGTCCAAGTCTTTGAAACAAAGAGAGGGACCATTATTCTACATCCCCAAAACTGAAGTCTAGAAAAGACTACAAAGAAAGATTCACTGCCTAGAAACTGTTTGGAAATAATAATTTTCTCTTTCCAAAATGAATCACAAGCAGTAGCGGAAGTACCATTTCTAAAATTGAAAGGATTGCGTGTAGCATACGAATCTTTCACCTTTTGGCTTGTCCAGTTGATCAGAGTTTTATAGTATACATTGGCTTGAATAGTCAAACCTGAAAATAAACGTTCTTTGTAATCAGAAAAAGAGGGGTGGAGGGATACCATAAAAGATGATTTCTTAGCCACAAACATTAACTACAAAGATGCCCGCCCAAACAAATTAACAAGGTATAGTTTATACATTGATTTAATCCCTCTTCCTGAGAAAAATACTTCATTAAGGAAAAACCTTTTACATGCAATTGCTACATAATTGAAGTAAAAAGTAGAAATAAATAAATGGCTCATACACTAGCTTCCTAAGACAGTAAAGGGAAATTGCACAAGAAGGCAAAAGATCATAGACAACAGAGACTAACATTGTGTCACTGGCTGTTTCATTTTGCTAGAAAACATGCCAAATGATTGAGCTCTGAAGGAGGAATTCCTAATTAGGTTAAGCAACAACTTAGGAAAATCTTCAACTTCAACTTTAAGGAGAGCAACTAACTTGAAGTGCCCAGGTCTTAACGTGGAAAAGATAGAAAACTATTCCATTATGAGAATTTCATGTTCAATTAAGTTGGATGAAGAAGGAAAATCATCACATGCAACTAATAAATATCTCAATACTTTTAACATCCTGGAGGCATTGTGGAAATCTTATGTCTTATTATATTAAATTCGCAAGTGCACATGTGACACAAACACACACATAATATACTGACACAGCTATGTCAATATGCACCTTCCTTTTCTTTTGTTTTTGTCCTAGCTCCTTTTTCCTAACACTAAATTTAACTGGAAGTAATCCTATCAGTTTGGCATTTTCAGGACTCATTCCCGAATGACTAGCTTTTGTTGGATTGATATCTTCATTCCTTTTGAATGGCACATCCTTGGAGGCATTGTGGAAATCTTATGTCTTATTATATTAAATTCGTAAGTACACATGTGACACAAACACACACATAATATACTAACACAGCTATGTCAATATGCACCTTCCTTTTCTTTTGTTTTTGTCCTAGCTCCTCTTTGATAACATTAAATTTAACTGGAAGGAAAATCATCACATGCAACCAATAAATATCTCAATACTTTTAACATCCTTGGAGGCATTATGGAAATCATATGTCTTATTAAATTAAATTCGTAAGTACACGTGTGACACAAACACACACATAATACACTGACACAGCTATGTCAATATGCACCTTCCTTTTCTTTTGTTTTTGTCCTAGCTCCTCTTTCATAATAATAAATTTAACTGGAAGTAATCCTATTAACATGGAAGAAAGATAAAAACCCCACATACATCCTTGGTCATATCAACAAGAACAAGAATATCTGTAGATAAGGAAACCAACCATACGTGTGCCATCGTGTGTGACAATGATTGTAGAACTTCTAAATCATCTCATCCAGAAGTTTGACAGAATTAGCTTCTACTAATTTCTCTGGGTTGACTAGTGTATGGATGATGGTGAGTAGAAGAATGTCAATATGAACACTTTCCTCTTCAATGAACCACAACATAAAAAAGATCACATAACAGCCAGAAATTAACAAAATCCAATGCCCACTTAGCCTGTTACTGTATCAATATGTGATATAATCTCTAGTTATTTTGTTCTATTCTCGAGTTAATGCATACATTTATGGATGATATCTAGAGGATATCAATTCATCTTTTTAACATTTGCACCTGTACAAAGATATTGGTATTTCAAATAACTAATTTAAATATCAATCATTGAGCATAACCTGGCACTTCTAGTTTCCTACTCTTGCTCACTAGAGAGTAAAATGGAGAAATGGACCACAATGCATGAAAATAGTCAAATTTACCATTCCTTATGAACGGATTGTGCTTTGTTCTATTTACCCAAACATTTAGGTAGCATACCACTGGCTTTTGTCTATATGTTTTTTAATTGTTCTTTTTTTTCTTTCCTTTTTTCCTCTCCCTGCATATACTACAGGCTTTGGCATGGCATCTTTCCTTCAGCCACAAGCAAAATCTTCGAGGTCAAGAGAAACTCACAACCAATTACTACTCCTAAGATCATAAGTTTGTATTCAGTCTCAAGATTTCCAAGATTTTCGAATCAAAAGTAGATCTAAATTGAAACTAGAAATTCAAAATGTTAGAATGTTCATCATCTTATGTGATTCAAGAATGGGTAAAGTCCATGGTTTTGTAGTCAAAATCAATCCCAATCTCATCGTCACTCAATGGTTGCTAATTGCTGTTTCTAAATAGGATTTCTTAAAATCTCTTCCCTGTTGATTTGTTGAACCAGAAAAAGAACCAGAGTTTGACTTAAGGAGAAGCTGAGCAAGAAAGGAGGTCAGACCTTGGGGGCAAGGAAGGATGCACTGTTAGGGATCGATGGAGGCAGAGAAGCAGTTGTGGCAGGGGAAGAGAAGTATGGGAAGGGTGATAAAGGAAAGGGAAGAGACTAAAGAAGACAGAAAATTATCACCTTTTTGGATTTTTCTATTTTTAGGATTCAAATTGGTAATCAAACAAAACCTCCCTATGCAGTCAGGATTGGAGAACCAACAAAATTTCCAAAATTTTAGATTTCTCCAGTTTTCAAAATCCATACCTATTAATAAATATGGTAATGATTCCAAATCCTAATTCCCAAACCCTCTTATCAAGTGGCTCCTGAGTTGTCAAGCATGAGGTAGTCTGTCAACTACTCACAGATTTTTTCCCCCTTTTTGGGTCAATATAGAGTGCAAAGACAACTGGCAGACCAAATATAACTAGCTTAAATCAGTTTTGGCAAGCATAAGCTCAGACAATCTTGAGAAACAAATTCCATGTATGTTCTGTAGACATCCAGTCCAAGAGAGATATTAAAAGCCACAAGTTAAATGCCCCAGTATCAACACAAAGAACTTCATTTAAGCAAACCTGCGGAGAAATAGATAGGAATCTTAAGATTCATGCGCTCCCAATAGTCATCCAATAGCATACACAGCTCCTATTTAGCAATGGCAAATTTGTAAGAAGAAAGGTTGGCAGTTGGTAAGTCAGAATAAAGTAATTCAAAACATGTTCCAAGAACAAAAGCTTTGCAGTGATGAAACAAAGGAAAGCATCCAAAATAAACATATACACTTCAAACCAAATACAACATTGTACAGGTCATACAATTTGCTCAGTTCCATGGAGCAGCTTCTAGAATGCTAAGAGAAGGCAATTCAACAAGTAAACTTCCAGTGGGTAAGAAAAATTGAAACCTATGAGGGATGCCAGAGTTTCTAATTAATTGATGCAGGAAGTGATAATTAATGTGAAACTTGGTCTGCTAAATGCATGTTGTTAGGCAAAATCAAATTGAGAGCAATCTTGGATTTTGCTTTCCCAACCTTCAACCTACTAGGACAACAGCCAAATCATGCAACCCCTATAGGCACAAACCTTCCCTATATTGCATTGCCAAGAAAGGAGAGACCATATGTCAAAGTAGCTGCATAGCATAAAATGATATCAAAGCTGAAATTTTGGTTAAATGTCTCAAAGCAGTACTGATGCGCATCCTGGCACTTTGGAAAACACAAAGCTTAACAGAACAAGAATGACTCTTTCATAAATCAGGATAATACAAAGCTTAACAGATTCCATAAATCACAACCTACAAAGGAGTTAGCCTTCAAAAAGTCCTTTATGGCTTCTGATCATAACAGTAATGGTATCACAGTCAGTACTTGAGTTTGTCAGTTCACAAGGAATAAAGCAACCACAAACGGGTGTCCCTTTCCCAACACATCTTAAGCCATCAGTTGCTATCAGCTTTCAATATTGTTGATTCATCAATTGGGACAGTTTAAGATCCTTTATGTCAATGTGATTTTTATCAGACTTGCAAGTTCCTGTTGAGATCAAAAGGCATATCTATCCATGTCATCCATCATATGTAGGAGGGCTACATGCTGGACACTCCTACCATGACTTATTATTGTGAATGCATTCAGCAGTTTAGAAGTTTTCAGGAGAGTAGTCTCAGCAGTTGTTATTCCTTAGAAAGTGCCATTAGTTGATAGATTCCTCGACTCTGCTTGCTACATGTTCAGTGTCTTATTTTGCATCTCTGTTTTATAGTTTTATTTCACTTTATTCATTAAATGATGAAGATATTCCAACATGATCTGGGACTAAATCAATATCCCTATTCAAAATAATCTACCCAAATAGAAATTATGGGCCTCAAGTGTTAACACAAGTAGGGTGATTCTAGAATTAGATGTTAATATGTTGAGACTTGGGCGAGTTTAAGCAAATTGAATCTTTAACATCCATGTCCAGGCATGTGCCAATCAAAGAATGCTACAAGCTGAGGAATAATTTTTACTCCAAAGCATGAGAGATGAATGATCTCAGCCTAAAATGTTTTACCAACCTGTGCTCTTCCTAAAGCAAATGAAGGAATCAGCACCTTTCCTCCACAAGCAACACAGTTGTGAACCTGTTAAAATCAAAATAGACATAGTTGAAGATTAGACCAGAAAATGATTGCGTTGCATGTCTATTTCTAGGGAATGAAACATCAGATAATACGTGAATTGTACATAATGCAAATTGTTTTTCATGTACATTTGAAGTAGTATTTACAACACAGTTAAATACAGTTTCCTCATCCAGGCAATTTTTAACTTCCTCTTTTCTGATTCCATAGGAAGAGTAAGACATGCAAATTTGATTTACAGTGATCTTAATTTAATTACTTGAATTATGTGCCCAAATCAAGGTTCCTATCACCAGAAAAGAAGTTGCCGAGACAGGATCAAGAATAACAATCTTTTTCAATTATGTTAAAGAAAAAAGTTTCAAAACAAATAACCATTAGATTCATCATTCAAGAAACCATCTTCATTGACAGAAAAAAATCTACAGCAGTAGAAATTGCATGCATGAACAAGGGTTGCCACATTCCACCACTGCCTCTTGTAAAAAGTGGTCAACAATTTTTCCAAAATCCGTGGCAACAAAGACAAGTTTTTTTCTCCCAGACTCTGCAGAGTTGAAACCAAAAATATTATTCCCATAGGAGGAGCTGAATCAGTATTGTAGGTGAAAATAAAAAATATTTAGAGGTGAAAGTTAATAGCTGAAGTATAAATTGTCAAAACTGAAACACTGAACTTCTGCCAGCATAATTCTATACTTAGTAGCATGTCAATAAGGAACAGACATACGTAATAGTAAAAATGTGACTGAACATCAATGGTGAAACAAAGAAACACAATTTAAGAAAGAATGAAACTGCAGCATACAGGAAATTCAAGTGACAAATAGAATTACAAAGTGGAGGGTCATACAGCTTTTAGAAACTCCCGCTCCCGAACATACTTTGATTCCCGGAGTGTTGTTGCATAAGTTGACCTGCAAGAACTTTAGCCCATAAGGCACTAGCTAATAAATTTTATTAACCTTTGTCAGATTCAGAAAATAACTCGTTTTCACCAAGAGAATGCACATCCTTATACCAGCTTGAACATCTCAAATTGTTAATAGAAGTGCTATTCAAGTATTGACAAACAACAAAGGTCACTAAAAGTAATGAGGCAAAATCATAGAAAGAAAATCATTAGCACAAGTTTGAATAACAGGGTCAGTGATCATCCTAGTAAATAACAAATCTGTTACCCATAGAGTCAGCTTAAAGAACTCAAAGCTCTATGCAAATTTATGTGATTAATACTCATCAACTAGTCAAATTAAGGAACTCAAAACAAGAGTAAATTCTTCCGTCTAAATGTCAAATGCAATCCAACTAAAAACCTATGAATTAACAATCTCTTATAAATATCTCTTATAAATATTGAAACTGTAGGGAAATTGCTCCATTGTGCATTTTTCGTAAATTAACATCTCCAATGTTTAAAAGATGAAAGTGGTCTTTGAAAATCTAATGACATGCATGCAACCATACTCCCTAGTCTTGAAAAATTCAATTGCATACGTACCATGATTTTGGTCCCACAGTCCATGTGATTAACAGCAAAAATATGTTTATACAGTTTCCTATAAATTCCATTTAACATAGGTAGCATATTTTTCCTCAGTCAAAATCTTCTAAAATACCATTAGGAACTGTTCTCTCCATCTTGTATTCCAGTTCAAGATTTCACCTCCTGATGCAGGATGAAACAGATGCAAGTAATTTCTACCATCTTGAACGTCCAACCTGGCCTCTATGAGTAAAGCTAGCAAGTCATATTCACTATCGTTTCAATTTTTAAAATTATGCAGAAAAAAGTCCAAAAACGAAAACATGAAATTTTAGGTCCATTGACTTAATGACATAATGATAGTACTTGCATTAAGTGTAACAAAGAATGAACCATTTTACTCCATTTATTCTAAGATAAAATAAAAAATCTATTTATCTTTGGTTCTAGAATTTGTTGTTCCCTTTTCTACCATTTATTGGTTGTATGTATCAAATTTGCATGAAAGCGTAAAATCACAAGAAACACTTCCACTTTTGAAGTGGTCGTTCAGGATAAAGACACCTCGGAAGGGAAACTGACACAAAAAAAATGGGTCTAAGGGAGTAAATTTTCTGCCTCTCACAATCAGAGATTAAAACAGCAGACTGTACTTCCAGTGACACTCTTGAACCCGACCTAAGAACAAATAATGTGTAAATACATTTAAAGAGAAATTATTAATGAATATCTCTAACATGATGAATTATGTATATGCAAGCATATATGCACACATAAGAAAGAATGGCTCCCTTACTCTGTTATGACAAGGTCCAAATGCAGTCGATCAATTTGAGCAGCTCCAAGATGTCTATCTGCTGTCATATTATAATCCCCAGTGTACACCATGGCAGCATCTCCAACCTTTGCATAGAACATTGCAGCTCCAAGAACCTAGAGCATCTAGACTATTATACAAACAATTTACTGTAGCAAACGACAAAGCATCAAAAATAATTCTACACTGACTATTGAGCAGTCATAATCACTATGCAAGAAAGACAATCTACTAAATTTAGAAACATACATGCATCCATGTACCAAAATAGTGAAACAATCATTTTGCATTCTATTAGTTAAGAAAATTCATGACAGCTGGAAATACAATAAAATTGATATAAGCATTAACAAGCACACTTAGAAAAGAAAAAAAATGAGAACAGACTTAGAACCATGAAAGACAAAGCAAAATTTGTAAAAAATACAGGCATTTTTGAATGGGATTAGAAAGTTGTATAACAGAAATAAAAACTACATAAAGTGTTGTATACAAGCCAAGAATAATGAGAACCTTACATGTCCTGCATAATATGCACGAATCTGAAGGTCCTTATCAACTTGCACAGTCTGCTTCAAATCGACGGCAGTTACTGCAGAAGGCAACAAGAAACTAATCATTTTTCATGCGTTTGCATTTGCACAAGACCTCCTTGTTTAGCTTTGACAATTAGCAAATGCATTTGAAAAATTGGCTGGACTACAGTTACAGGACCTCTAACTATCCACAAAAATTAGAGAACAAAACCATTATTGAAGGACTGATGGAGTGGAAGAGGAAAGCTGAATACTTTTCAATCAAGTATTGTAGCTGACAACAATCACAAGTTCTCTTAGCAATCAATCTCTCAAATGTCACACATGAAGTTTACCAACAAGGATTGGATCAAGAAGACAGAACCACATGCACAATAACGATTACCAGAAAGAAAATGTACTTTTATTGGCACTCTGTAGACACATAAGAATGTTGCTGCTTCCACTTATTAACCACTTCCAATGACCGTATGAATTAAAAGCATACAAGATAAGAAGAATCGCAAGAAAAGAGGAAGACATCCACCTCTCTTCATGCACTCCACAATATCCTTGGAGCTAAACTGTTCTTCCTCTCCCCTTCTGTCAACCATCACTTTACGATAGTCCTCCAGCATCAGCGGAGCCAAAGCTTTTGTAGGATACTGAAAATTATCCCAAGAAATCTAAAAATCCAGACTTGATATCCAATGCCACAAATATCGACGTAATAACATTCCTCGCATCAAAATGGTTCTAAAAAAACCCCTGGTTCATTAACTTTAAAAAGAACCACATAACCAGTAAACTCTTTTCTTGTTTTACACAAAGTTTGAACTCTAATAATTACTTCATTGGTTTCAATAAGGATTCCCAAAAAGAATGAGAAAATTACCGTCATGTAAATGGGTCCCTTATATCCACATACTTCAGTGAAATAAGGAAGTGCACCAATATGATCCAAGTGGCTGCATAACCCAAATTCAGTTACTCACTAACCAGCAACTCACACACAAAAACGCAGGACTAATCAAGTAAATTATACAAATGTGTGATAATGATGCAACTGAGGGAGCTAGTAAAATCTTCAGCAGCATTGCGAGGGATCAGTGAGAAGTCAGGATATCGACGATCATCCAGATATCCCATATGCATCCCACAATCAAACATTATTCTCTTGCCGTTTATAGTCACCACCACGCAGCTTTTTCCCACCTCTTGCCCTGCCCCTGATCATCATCACAAAAACCAAATTCAGACTATATAAACCCACAAAACTTCATAACATCAACAACCATTAAGGGTCAGTTTTTTCCTCATTGGCATTTTATCAAACGAGTTCTGTACAAAACTATAACAGCGCCTGGAACCATTATACTAACGGTCATTCACATGACTGCAGGTTGAGTCAGAAAAGTACCTAAAACGAGGCATTCAATCGCCATTCTAGGTGGGTTTATTCTTGCTCTTGCGACACCAGCAGAGTTCTGCAAAACTTAGAAGCAAAAGGCCAAAACCAACTGAAGTTCGACTTAACCACCTATTGGAAAACCAGGATGAATTTGAAACAGCTAAAATTCATGAACCATACTGCCATGCACCCAATCACAAAACCAAGCAAAAGAAATTGTAGGCGAATTGGTTTTAGATTTGTGATTCTAGTACTTTGCATCAACGTATTCTGTTCCACTTTATATTGATCTTGCAACTGTTTTAGATTGTGATTCGAATACATAGCAGGTGAAAACTAAACTTTTATTGTCCTAATCTATTAATATAATTGGAAAAGTTACGAGTAATCTAATTGATTTTTTATTTTAGTGTAGTAGTATTTTAATTAAAGTCAATTTCCCGCTTCAAAATTGCTCTTCTCCACTTGTGAAAATATCTCCAATAAATATTGCTCTTTAACATTGAAAAATAAGCTCATAGCTCATAATATTAATTATACTGGATAACTACGCACTCACCATATAGGAGTTCTAATTAAAACCAATATAATTGGAAAAATTTACAAGTTGACTAATTGTTTAATGCAGTAATATACTGGTACTTTTTAGTGAAAATTAATTTTCCACTTAGAATAATTATTGATCGAAAAAAGTCTACAAGTCGACAAACTGTTCTAAGTTGCAATTTGATTGTTTTAAATTGAAGTTTTTTCCCATAATCAAGTCGCCAAAAAATGGCCATATATTTTCATTCATTGTAAAGAATGATTTCTACTAGTCTAATGTACAGAAACAATCCACTAGTACTCCAATTGCTTTGGATGCGCTCCTAGTATTTGCAACCCACTGATTTACACTCTCTCATCTTGAATGAGCAGCAAACATGCTTCAAGCTAGCAAGCACCGTCAAAACAAAGTCTCAAGCATTACAGGCTTTGTAGGTGGTTCAGCACAATATTTGGCCCAAGATTATACCTTTCTTGACAGAATTCCAATCAACTGCTATCTGCAATCATGTAACATGTACTTCTGATTGCATTCATCATCTGAGAGCAGTCCTTTGATTCTCATCTCATCAATTAAACATGAAATAGCAGGTTGATTGCCCTCTTTAACATATCATCTAATTAATATATCATAAACTACATGATCACGACTTGTTCCCTTTTTCAACATGTCATCAAACACTTGTTTTGCTTCAATCATGAATCCTTTGTTGGTTAATCCAAAAATCAAGGAACTATATGCAAACAAATTAGGCGGAATACCCTCTTTAACCATCTGTTTTTGAAGCCTGAATTCTTGTACAAGGTTTTCTTGCTTGCAAAGCCCTGCAATCCAAGTAGTGTAAAAGTGTTTGTTAGGAACAAATCCAGCATCTGTCATTTCTCTATAGACCATCTATAGACCATCTCAACTTGACTCAATTCCCCCTCCTTGCACATGCCATCAATTAGGACAGTGTATGAGATTTCATTAGCATTTTCTTTGCTAAAATGCAATTTTGCTTCGTCAAGACGCCCATTCTTGCAGAGGCCGTCTATTAAGGATGTAAGAGTAACAACATCAGGCCGAAAACATCAGGTGCCACTTTCATTCATTGCTGCTTCCACATTTCCAGCCTTGAAATAAGCATGCATAAGAGTAGCAAATATGACACCATCAGGTGCCACTCCGTAATCCATCATAACTTTTTTAACTTCAACTGCACTATCCAGCCTATTCATATTGCATAGCCCAGACACAATAACCCCATAAGCCATAAGCAGTGACATCAAGCCTAATACCCTGATCATGCATTCTGCTCAAGTACTTCAGAGCATTATCTACATTCTTTTTCTTGAATTCCCCATCAATCATGCTAGTATATACAACAATATTAGGTTCAACCCCATCTTCCAACATCCTCGAAAACAAATAAGCTGTCTTTTCCAGCATCCCCCGTTTACAAAAACCATCAATTAGAGCTGAATAAGTAACCACATTTGGAAAAACTGAATTCCTGCGCATATCCAAGTATAATCCCAGTGCAACTTCCAATTCACCAGCCTTACAATATCCATCAATCAAAGAAGTAAAGATTTGTAAATTTGGGAAAACCCCACTACTCTTCATATCCTTAAACACCCTATAGGCCATATTAACGTTATTCATTTTACAATACGTGTCAACAAGTATACCATAAGTTACAACATTTGGTACACAAACTTTCCACATCAAACTCATATACACAAGCAACTCTTCAACCGTTCCAACCTTACAAAACCCATTAAACATTGCGTTAAAAGTAACCAAATCAGGCCTAACATTCATCAGCCCACTACAAACTTTCCTCATCATAAAACAAGCATCACCAACATCAGCATTTCTCAAGTACCCATCAATCAGAGAATTGTAACTAACTATATCAGGCAAACAACCAAGTTTTGGCATCAAATTTATCAACTTTTGAGCAGAACCAGGAAATCCCAGATTGCAGAAGTATGAAATGACAGAGTTAAAGGCTGAGACATGAGGAAAGTAGACTTTTGAAATAAAGGCGACGAGGAGTTTCAATGAAAGGTCGCCGTAGTTGGACCGTGTGAGGCTGTGGAGAAACTTGTTGAAGTCATGGCGGTCCGCAAACTTTCTTGAGGCTTTGAATCTTTGAAGACTATAAGCGAAGAATTTCAAAGCCTCTTTAGTCATGAAAATAAGATAAAGTTTCGGAATTTCGTCGGACATGTTGTGAGCATTATCTGCACAGTTCATTCGCTTGACCGCAGAGGAAAGGCCCTTCCGCGCACTTTTTAAAAGCTTACGGCAATTAAAGCTGGGTTTAATATGCCTATATTATTGCCCTTGAAGACGAGAATCAAACAGCATTATATCAATCACGCCCTCAGGTGGCCCCACCCCAACCATGTAAAGCAAGTTTAGTGACTGAAGAGTCTACATCAATCAGGCCTTCAGTTTCCAATCAGTTAACCTGCCTCCCAAACAACCCAAAAATCATGACTGGTGCAGCCCATTTCGGTGATGATCTAAAATTAAAAAAACAATTAGAAAAAGAAACAAAAATAGACAGTTTAATCCTTAAGGTATTGCTTCCAGGATTGCCCTATTCAGTTTGAATCTTGATTTAGCAGATACTGTAAAATCATCCATAACTCTCTGAAGATTAAATAAAACGATAAAAATATACAGAATAGCAGGACAAAGAAATGGAACGAAATTTCTAATAAACACATGTTCGACATTCAAGAGAAATACAGAAAGCTTTATATGCCACTACAGGGATTTGTTCACATATCTGCAAGACAAAACATGGCAAAACAAAGCCGCAACATAAAACAGAAGAATAAAAAGGCATTACGCTTCCACTTGACATAAAACAGAGATGACTGTAAACATAAGATTTTACCTTGTTCTTGTCCATATCTATATGTGCCATGCCAAAGCCTTAAAAAGATAATATTTAAAAAAAAAATAGGAAAATTCCCCCTCCTATATAATCTACAATGGAGAGTTCATTTAAATGCAGTGAGGATGGGAACTTCTCTTCTTCTCTTTTGCAAACAAATGAGATGTGCTCAGGGTAGGAAGTACTTGTTTCTCTTTTGCACAAAACCTAAACACTCGTGACACCTCTTAACTGAAATCCAGCTTTCCTTGTAAACTATGGCGACTACAGAGTCGTCATACTCACCATACCCATCAAACGTTCGGAATTTATGGCCTGCTGCAAGTGAAATCAAAGTCAAAATCAACTGTCCTCCAACACACCTCTGCAGAAGGAGTTCATCCTTCCAAAAGCACAGACAGAACACGTTGTCAAATCCAGGTCCGATTGAATACATTTTTGCCCAAGTCTCCTTAACACCATACTCTTTCATCACCCATACATCAATACGATCTTCCAGTCCAACATACCGACGATAGATTAGAGCAAGGGATTCTCTCAGAACACCAAGACGAGGAGGACGAATGTTTTCGCCCCTGAAAGAATCAGGCAGTGCAATCTCTTTGACTACTTCAGTGCTCATGTCGAACGAAAAGAGCACTACCCTTCTCCTCCTCCTTGCCACTCTAGGACTTGCAGGATCGAATTCGACTGTGCATGCACTCCAGTGCATGCATCCATTGAAGTATACAGGGAAAATTCGCTCGTCTAGCACACAAGTTGGAAATGCAGCGACTATCTCTCTCCATGAGTCGCTATTCAGGCTGTACACGTTCGCCATCTGTGCAGTTTGATTCTCACCCAATATAACAACTTTGTAATCATTGGCGTTAGAATCATAACCAAGTCCAAGGTAACATCCAATGAAAGACGACCTTGGCAGGGGAGGAAGAATCCTGACTTCCTGAAGTGCTGGATTTAGCAAGTACATGCCATTATCATCTTCTAGGAAAATTAGACCGTTGCAATCACAGATAAGCATAACAGTGTCACCAAAAAAATTAGCGTGACGTGAGAATGGCATGTGCTGCAGATCAGGCTTGGTGGCATCACGAACCGGTTCCAGATTGGAATGGATATAGTAAGAAGCAGAGCGATTGGTATTCTTCAGGGGCGGTCGCTTGAGGAGAAGAGCATAGTTTTTAGCACGGCTAAGGTAAATAGCTTTGAATTGAGGGCTGTCGATCAAAGCACACCATGATTTACAGACGGATTTCAATTGCAGGAGGGATTTCACCGGCAAGTGCAGTAGAATATCTAACCACATTTCACCAGGTAAATCCATCGTGCTTGATGAACAGACTGGATAATCTAAAAAAAGACAGACGTAAGAATCAGCTAAAGGAGAGGAAACAAGAAACAGAAATAAATGGTGGCCAATGCCTGGCCGGGTGTAAGCTTTTGTAGAAAACTCCAATCCACAGATGGAGCAAATCCAATGCCGAAAAGGAAACTCAAAACCAGGTAGGATCTGGAAATTTTCCCTTTTTTTTTTGGTGGGTGTAGGCCAAATTTTATTTTTATTTTTATGTATTTATTTTGCAGAAGGATCGGGAATCAATTGAAAGCAAAGCAAGCAAGCAAACATACAAATCCAAATCCAAATTTATACCGTTTCTGGAAATTTAAAAAAAAAACTATCAAACAAAACTACAAAAATTGAACTCAAATTTATGGTTCGAGGCAGGGATACCCACACAAACCAAGATTTGCACAGACACAGTTACATCCTCTAAAACGTTTTGGTTAGATACTTTTTAACACATCAATTGAAGTGAGTAGAGAGTAGATCAACTAGAATTTGTACCCAAGAGAGTAGATCAACCAGGATTTGTACCCCAAAGATTGCAACTATGGAAGCAGATCAGGAAGGATAAAATTACCCCATAAATAAATCGAAAATCCGAAATTTAGAACCGATGCATGGGTAGAGTGTGGTTGCTGCAAGGATGTCTTGGCTAAAATTTCGTTCAAGCGGGGCTTCGATTCGCCGTCTCTTTGATGGCTCCAAAAGTTGCAGCTTTTTGTTTCTCTCTTCAACAGTCTTCCTTCCCCGCAGCGCTGTCCTCATCTTTTCGCTAGTTTGGATGGGCCCAAAAGTAAATGGTCAGAGTAATCCTCAAGCTGGCAATGGAATCAAAGAGATGGACCCCACGCACTGGTTTTCAGGTATTCATAGATTAACTCCAATCCACAAACAATAACAAGTTCGAGCCCAAAAACAAAAAGGAACTCGAAACCCATATGGAATCCATCCACTGCAAATTACGGAAAAAATCAAATTTGAAACCTATTTGGAAATGTCAAAGCGAAAATTGGCCAATCTTGTAATTCAACTTCTTTTTTTTTTCTTTGAAAAAAAATCCACCCTCAACTTTTATTTTGACAAATTTAGTCCTAAACTCAAATTTTATGATTGGCGCCATCAATTATATCATTTCCCCTGCCAAAAAAAAAAATCACCAACAAAGGGCAATTTTGTAACTACTTCCAGCCCTATTTTAAAACAAAGGAAAAAAAAAAGTTCTGTTAGAAAGGCTAGAGAACAAAATGTTTCATTAACTTTTTTTAAAAATTTTATTAAAAAAAAAGAAAGCACTTTTTGTGATGCTAGTGATTTTGTCCCAAAAATGTTTTGATTGGCATTGCAACCGTAAAAGAATAAAATATGATACAATAATAAAAGCTATAATTTCAAAAACTTCCCCTGAGGTTGGAGGTTTGTCATAATATCACTCAACGTTTCTTAAATTTTTAAAATCTCACTTACCTCCTTTGTCAATTTTACAAGACTAAATATTTCTATTAAAGTTCATAAATTGACAATATCACCCTTGCTCTTAATAACTATTTAACCAAAAAGTCAAAACAAAATAAAATTTTAAAAGCAAAAAATGTAAATTAAAAAATAAATTGCTAACTGATAATGGTCCATATTTCTTTATATTGGGCTCATGGTGGGATAGCAAAGGACGTAAATAAATTAAATCTAATCAAGATCAATCACTTAGGACGATTTTGGAGAGTAATTAACACCTTAAAAAAATTTCGTGCAACAATTAATTTTAGGAAGTCAATATATTTTTTGGAGAAATATGTTTTAATTCATGGTGTAGTTTAAGTTGTAATGAAAACTCAAATAATCTTTTCATGTGTGTGAATTTTTCTTTGTTCCAATATAGCTAAAATAAATAATTTATGTTAAGAAATTTATACCTTATAAAAATTTAACTTTATATTATTTTTTATTTTGTTATAAATTCCATAAGTAAAATAACATAAGGGTAGTATTGGAACAAAAGTTTTATCTTTCTTGTATTTCCTCCAAAGGGGTTAAAATATTACAAGAATGTTAATCCAAAGTAAGTGAGATTTTAAAAACCTCAGATTAGCTGAGTGATATTATGAAAAACTTGGAGGAGGTTTCTAAAATTATCACATATTAAAATTAAGGACTAATTTGGCCAAAATAAAAGTTGAGAGTCAAAATTAGGTTTAACAGAAAAGTTGAAGGACAAACTTGGAAATTTGATATATTTTGTTCATATTTGAAGTTGAATTGCAGTGACATACACTTTGTTCTTGAAGTTTGATAGAATTTTAGCATGGCTATTGTGTTACACTGAAACTTTTTGCTTGTTTACAACATAACGAAATCCTTATATAGTTCCAATTACGAATCTACGAGGTAAACAATTTGCATATATAAAGTCTATTACTGGGAGGGACAAGAGTCCACTACAGTTACAAAATTTATTCATGAGAAGTTTAGTGTAGGTTACGTTCAGGAAAGGAAGTTCATGTCATGTATGGAATAACCCATACCTATACTGTAACTTGTTGAGATAAAATAGAGATTTTTTTGTTCTATATCCATTGGCATAATTCGTTTTACTGATCTAAAAAGATGGTAAATTGGGAAGAAAAATAGAATTTCAACAAGAAGAAAGTTTTTAAAAAATTATTTATAGGCGTGTGGGTAGCCAGACGCCTCGGGAGCCCTGCAAGCCTCCTATAGGTGACCTTACACCAGACTAACTGACTGCTTTCGAGCCAATGGACGCGGGGCTGGAGCGGTTGTTCTGACAACCGCTCCGGAAGGTGTAACATCATTTGTACATGATGTAATATCATCTGTACAAGGTGTAACAATAGAACAACAGCGAGTAACATTAGAACAATATTTTTGTGGGTCCCACACGACGTGAAAATCGAGACAACCGTCCAGGCCCCTCGTCCCCAGCGAACCTATTATCCCTCTTGAGTAGGGGTGGGCAAAATTATCCGCTGATCCGAAAATCCACACATATCTGATCCGACCTAATGCAAAAATTAGGATACCTGATTTATATTATTTGATTAGGTCAAAAGGGAGTCGAGTATCCGCTAAAATGCGGGGCAGATTAGGGTCACATAATTAAAAAAATTTGCAGGTACCCGACCTGCCCTGTATATATATAATTTTTATTTTTTTATATACATACTATAAAATAATAATTTATGGCTAAATATGTAATTTCATTGAACAAATTGCATTACAAATATGAGATACTATAGTTTATTTACAAGATTCATTTGTAGAGATCATGATATTATATTTTATAGAAAAGAGTTTAATTAATATGGAACATATATTTACAAACATGTGCTACTTATTTCAAATTTTTATTGATTTTGAATTCTTTTAATTTTTTCCGTTTATTTTGTATTCTCTTCACATACTTGGTTCTTAGTGGGAGACATATTTTGAAAAAAAATATTTATTAAATTTTAGATGAATGTGTAAAATATAAAATTAAATTAGTATAAATTATTTTTAAAAAAAAATTAAATGATAAGTGGGATGGAACGAGTACCCGTTGACCCCACTCTATCTCAACGCGTACCCGCTGATATGCGGGGCAGGTAAGAGTCAGAAAATAACTTATCCGCATAGTGTGAGTCGAGTTAGCAAAATGGTGGATTGGGCGAGTACTCGACCTGCGCCCGCCCCTACTCTCGAGACTATTAAGCATTCTAGCTATATGAGTTATTCTTAATAGACTTTTTGAAGTATTAGTGTTCTATTTACGAGTCATTGTAGTTGTACTGAATCTATTGTCATTCTCGAAGCTTGGGATTTATTTATTTATTACTTATTTTTTGGCTTGGAGTTTGGAATCTGTTGATATCCAAACGTTCACGTGACCACATACAAGGACCACTTGAAATGAAGCAATGAGAACTGGATTTCGACCCTGTGAAAAGTAATCTATGGACAGAGATTAGAGAATTGACCCTTTAATTTGTTCTCTAATTCGTAATAAAAAGTAAGACGCTGCTTCCATTGCTCATGTGGGATCAGGAGCCAGAGCGGCTGCAAAGCAACCCTTCCTGAAGGTTATGTATATTTTGCACACAACATAATTCTGTTTACACATAGTGTAACTTACTTTTAATAACGTATAATTTTAGAACAAAATTTTGTGAGTCCCACACATGTTGTTAAGAATGAGGTACAAGATAAAATCTGGATCGTACAATTTTTTTGGCAAAATCTTGACCGTGAACTGTTGGGTATGGTTGCTTCCTACCCCTCTTCCGCTGATGTGGTGTGACCTACAATTTATAAATTCGAGTTCAGTTGGGCCCTGACAATGAGAAAATTTGAGCATACAACAATGCTACAACAAAGCGAAGCAGAGCCAATACCATCCTGATTGATGTCATAATACACTATCTCAATCGTTACCTGGGAATGTTAATCATGTTGCCTTCGGTTGGCTGTAAAAGTTTGGGATAAGACTTGATTATTCAGATACCTTTGTATTGCATTATTGTGTGGAGATAATGTCATACTGAATTATGAAAAAAAAGAAGAGTAATTAAAAAAAAAAAAAGGAACACAGATTGGATTTTTTAGACGCATTTCAAAGTATGGGTAACTAAAATTTTCTAGTGTCCCAATTATCTTTTCTTTGATTCTGTGTAATCACAGATAAATGTTTTGTATTTTTCTGAAATCTTGATTTTTTTTCCCCAGCTCATTTGTCTTCCATACTAGTATTTTTTTTTATATATATATAATAAAACTCCCTCTTTTTTTTAATGTTTTTCTTCAAATATTGGATTTTATGATTAAAAAAACAGTTCTTTCGTCCCCTACTACTGGCTAATTTCTCAAAATATACGTATAAAAAAAAAATATCCATCAAATGAAGCTCTGACATGAGGTGCTTCTCAAACTATACCGGCCGTGTTGATTCAGCACGGGCAGCAAAATAAATTTCCCACTCCCAATCTGACAGATAAAAATCAGTCAGCGGCTGCAAAAAATGTTAGTGGGGCTCAGAAGATGTCAGTCGCGGCCGTGCTGATTGTGCACGGCCCGACTGACATCTTCTGAGGCGTGGCAGAAGTTTTGCAGCCGCTGCACATCTTCTAAAAAATTTGCAGCCGCTCCACCAATTGTTTCAATCATGATGGCATGAGCTACAAGCCTGCAGCTGCACTATTACTGAGTCTACTGGATTTCTCGGGCTCTTGGACCATTTCAAAGCCACCAAAAACATTTGTTTAAAATTGATTGAAGTCTGGACATGGATGGAGGAAGGAAATGGAAGTCTGGAACCATGTCCTTTAAGTAGAGAAAGTATTTTAAACAAAATATTTATATTTATATATAAATATATATTTATTTCAATTGATATAATATATATAATATACATAATTTAAATATACATATTAATATTAATATAATTTAGATATATATAATATAATATACATAATTGAAATATACATATTATAAAACAAAATTGAAATAAATATATTTATATATTTATATAAATATATTTAAATAAATATAAACTTGTATGATATTTATAAATAAATACATTTATACATTTATATAAATATATATATTATAAATATATATAAATATATTTTGAACAAAATATTATTATTTATATATAAATATATAATATTTATTTCAATTGATATAATATATATAATATACATATTAATATACATAATTGAAATATAAATATTAATATTACTACAATTTATATATATATAATATAATATACATAATTAAAATATACATATTAATATACATAT